CGTTATTGGTCGCCGTGCTGGGTATTGGTGGGTGGTTCTTTCTCGTGGAAAACAACCCCGCGTGGGCGACCCTACACGGGGGAGGTTTTCGGAGCCTGCTCGTGCAAGGCGCGCAGTACAAGATCATTCCGTCTCAGGTCGCTGCTCATGTTCAGTCAGTCCACATCAACCCAGTCAGTCCCCATCAGTCCCCATCACCCCAATCAGTCCCCATCTTCCCAATCAGCCCAACTAGCGCCAATCAACCGAATCAGTCCCCATCAGTCCAATCCGACCCATCAGTCCAATCAGTCCCTCCCTGCCCGCTCGGCCAGGACTCGAATCCCGATATTGTTCGCCGTGTTGGGTATTGGTGGGTGGTTCTTTCTTTTGGAAATCAACCCCGCGTGGGCTACCCTACACGGGGGAGGTTTTCGGAGCCTGTTCGTGCAAGGCACGTAGTACAAGGTTTTCCTTAGGTGTTCCTTCGGTTTTCCTTAGGTTGTCTTTCGGTTTTCCTAGGTTGTCCTTACGTTCTCTTTAGGCAGTCGCAAGTTTTCCTTAGGATGGATAAATCGAGGATCAAGTTCTCCCCGTGGGGCCCGAGTTCCACACGGAAAATAATATGTTCCATTATTGTTGGGGTCCCAGTCCGTCAATAAGCCCGCGGGACAACCATATATTTGCGCACTATCGGGGGGGGGTCAAAAGACCCTTTGGGGTTACTTGTTTCCCCTCCAAAGTCAGCATCGCTCGGGCGTGTGCATTGCTTTCTCGGCGAGAACCATCGAGGACCATCCTGGACCATCGAGCAAAAAAACAACACGCACGAAAGCGAAAAACGCACGGGAAATGGACGCCCGAGCGACGGCGAGAGTCCGTCTGTAGGAGGACGTGCCCGACCTGAGCCCAACCGACCCCTCGCCAACCAGCCCCCCTCCCGTGGCGCCCTCCCCGCCTCGCCCGGAGAGGCGTGCGCGCGTGCGGCCGCAGGGGAGCCCGCAGGGCGAGGAGGGCGCCACGGTAGAGGCATGGTTTGCCACGGTCGGGCGAGCGGGTGGCCCTAAATGTATGTCGGGCGTGTCCCCCTTACAGGGGGATGTTCGACGAAATATTAAAAATGCCACAAACATGCCCCAAGAAGGGCAAAAAATATATAAAAATAGTCCCCAGACTATTTTTGGATTATTGTTTCATTATTTTTGGTGTATGTTCTAATTTTTCCTCGAATCTCCCCCTGTAGGGGGACAGGCCCGACTTAACCCTAAATGGGGGGAGGAGAATTTCTGCACGAACGAAATGGGCACGGAAAGGATGGGTACAATGCCCAACAGCAGCTCCTGTTCATTCCGTAGCCATTTTGGCTCAAGCGCCGGCTCGAGCTGACCGTGCTTGTGCTGCTGATCCGCGTGATCTCATCTGCGATGTCTTCAGGCCCACCGGCATCGGTCATAGGCAGCGCTCATGGTTCCGATGCTGCCTCCGAGATGCAGCGGCAGATAGCGGCCGCCGCTGCCCAGCAGGGCGTGGCTCAAGCAAAGGCGTCGGCCAAGACTGGCATCTTCGAAATCAAGTCCTACATACAGGAGAACCCAGCAAGCGTGAAGGTGGTTTGCTTTCTGATCGGTCTGCTTTTGATGACGCTCAGCATCCTCGGTATCTTCAACGTGATAGGCGCGGCTGTCGAGCCAAAGCATTATCTGAACAATTTTTACAATGTGTTCTTTGGTGTGATAATTTGCATTTGCGACTGCAAGGAGTCATGGGGCAAGGCCTGCTTCGATATCCAAGAGAAGCTATTCAGGAATGCGTATCTCCTAGCGACCCATAAAGGCCGTGGTATGTTATATATGTATGTTGGCAGTACGATTATTTTCGTGTTGCCAGATCGGAGTGAATACCCATTTTGGTCATTGATCTACGGCTTGATGGGTATACTTCTGTGTATTCTGGCGTACCTGATGCTGCTCTTGGCGTGGTGGGGCGAGCTCTGCGGATGCAGGGGCCGCTATGCCAGCATGGATGCTGGTGCCGACGCTGCTGGCAATAGGGCTTGAGCCAGTGTCCGCGTAACTTGTCATGGCCGTCCGTTTGCAGACAGAAAAAAAAAGCTCCTGTTCATTCTGAACAGGGTTCGCTGTCCGCGCCGCCGCGGCCTGTGTCCATTCGAGACAGGTGGCCCTAAATTCTGGTTGACCCAAAAGGGGGTACAGCGACAAGGGGGTGGTGCAATAGCTTTGGTGCAACAGATCTGTGGGGTTGCAGTACATTCGAGGTGTGCAATACACTACGGGGCGCAAATGTATGGCTGGACTCTCGCGTGCAAGAAAGTACGTGCAATACAAGGCAGTACAAGTCTCTGGCGCAATACCTCTGCAATACAGTTGCCCCAAGTCTATTGCACCACCCCCTTTCAGCTGCACCCCCTTTTGGGCCACCCAAATACATGGGGGGTGAAGAACAGGGCTCTAGACGTGCACTCTGGGGCCCCTCTTGGGCCCCCGCTGGCTCCTAAAGGGGCCCCTTCTGGGGCCCCTTCTCTTCACCCCCCCCCCCATTCCCAGACCCCCGACGCCATGATCTCTTCATGGCGTCGACCCCCAAAGGGTGTCGACCCATTCCCCGGGACCGGCTTTTCATCCTGAATTCGGGAGCCTTGAGACGGGGGTCAATGCAAACGGGGGTCAGTCAGGGCACCAGATCCTGCAGGATCCTGCGAAGACCCCCTCTGGCTGACCCGGGTTAGCGAGCCGCTCGTGGCCGCGAGGCGGCCGCGCATATTGGTTGACCCGGGTTTGCGAAGACCTGCGTTGTAGCTTTTTGTCCTGCATTGCAGTTTTTGGTTTCCTGCTGACCCGGGTCTGGATTGACCCCGGTCAGAAGATCCCCGATGAATTGTTTTTAGACGGTCCAGCGGCTTGGTAAGGGTCCCCAGAGGACGAAATGGTCGAAAAAAGTACCGCCGTGAGTGTTTCTTCTCTCGAGGGGTCTGGGTCTCGTGCACCCCCGATTACCATGAAGTCGGGCCTGTCCCTCTACAGGAGGGATATTCAAAAATAGTTTAAAAAATAGTCTGAGGACGATGTTTTGACTATTTTGGATCTTTTTGGGCTATTTTGAAAGAATTTATAGTTCTTTGCCCAAACTCCCCTTGTAGGGGCGGGACATGCCTGACCTAAGATTACCACTCGCCCGATGGGGGTCGGCGGGGCCTCGCCCGAAAACAGGCAAAGGGAGGCGCAGGTCAGCGCGCGCGCGCGCGGCGTGGCTCCTCGTCGCGGGTGCCTGCACGCGGCGCCAGGGCGGAGGCGTCGTGGGCGCGCGTGCACACGGGGCGGGAGGCGGGGGCGAAGCGTTCTGGCGTGCCTATAGGCCTACCAAAGAATGCTGTAAGAACCTTTCGTGGTCTGCACGAAATGTTCTTGGACAAATTCTGGCTGGGGCTGCTTTGAAACAGCACATCGGGCTTATGTTCTGAGAGCACTGCTTTTGTTCTCAGAACATAACTGGGTTCTAAGAACACGTCGTGGTAGGCCTCTGGGCATGCCGGGACGGCCGGTCCCTGCTCCACACGGAATGGTAGGCCAGGGCCGGCCGTCTCGATTTCGGGCAGGGCTCATTTCGATCCCTCCGATCCGATATCCGGTTCGATGTCGCTGGCTTCCGATCCCGGATTCCGATCCGGCTTCGGATGCCGAGTTGCGCTCCGATGTCTCGAGAGGGAGGCCTACCAGCCGCCGCTCTCCGCCGTGTCGTTTTGCCCCCGATGCGGCCGCCGACGTCCCGCCGAGCCGAGGCGCTTCGACTGCAGAGCCGACGTCTCGATGCGATCCTGGGCGCACGGGGCGGGAGGCCAGGGCGCTGGCCGTCTCGACCTCGCGGCGTTACAGGTCGGGCAGGGCCCTCTACGGGGGGAATAGTCAAAAATAGTCGTCAAGAAGCAGCCTGGGGGCGATGCTTCTATTATCTTCCAACTACTTCCGAGTACGCTCTGATTGTTTCAAGTTGTTCTTCCAAAATCCGCTTGCATCACCGAGCGCCTTCCGCTACTCGCAAAGTGCCTGCTCGCAAACCTCATAAAACAAACCAGGCGGCGGATCCAGACCATTTGCGAGTAGTTACTTTGCGAGTAGTGGAACGCGCTTGTCCACTGTAGGAGGACATGCCCGACCTGATCGTGGTGGCGTGGAGGTGCGCCTTGGGGGGGGTCAATGGGGGCGGGTTTTCTTTCGGGGAAACGTGGGACTCGAGCACGCTGGACCTCGTCCTCCTCCTCCTCCTCCTCCTCCTCCTCCTCCTCCTCCTCGTCCTCGTCCTCGTCCTCGTCCTCTTCCTCCTCGTACGCGGAAACGTTTGCCGACGCTTTTTGACGAGCGCGTCCTGGATTTCGACGGTCCAGCTGGTCGTGGATGTCTGCAGCGGGAGCTCGCGTCAGATTTCAGAGTGGGCCTCGTCATTTTTTCTGGATGCCCCGTCAGGCCCACCCGATTCCCCCGTACCCTAGGTCTTACGTCTCCGCGATTCTCAGAAGGCTCACACGACGGCTGGCCTTCCGAGGAGTGTTCGAAGCCTTCTCCGAGGACAGAACCAAAGCAGAGAAAACGGCATGAAACGTGAATTGTGGGAGCTCCCCGCGGAGGTCGTGGATCTGCGCGGGGCCCCCCTGGCGGCGCCTCCGGCGCCGCCCCTGGCGCGCTCTGCCCGCCAGGGAAGGGGGGGTCGGCGCAGAGCCAAGACACTCGCGCGGACCTCCAGGAGTTGGCGTTCACGCAGCTCCGTGCCCATCGCAAGCCCCCGAGGCCTGGGGCGCCCTGCCGGCAGGAGCCAGGGAGTCTGGAAGGCCCCGCCGCCGTCCGAGAAGGCCTCCTCACGGACCCCCTGGGAGCTCGCCGCCACCGGCGACGAGGAGGTGCCCGGACCCCGCAGCTCCCCCTTCCCTCGGCATCGCTCGGACATGTGTTTTTTTTCTTCGGCGGGGATCATCGAGGAGCATCCTCGATCATGCGGCGAAAAAACCACGCACGAAACCGAGAAAAAAACACAGGGAATGGACGTCCGAGCGATGGCGAGTTCCGCGCGCCCCCGTGGCGCGCTCCGCGCGCTGGGGGGGGGGGGAAGCTGCGGGGGCGGGAGGGCGGCGGCCGGGCGCCGACCGGAGGAAGTCCGGCGGAGCAGCGTCGCAGACGTGGTCGTGTTGCTCTGGGGTCCGGGGGCGCCAGTCGGAGAAGACAAAAACTGTATAAACATAAACTTTCGGCGCTCCGCGCGGATTTCTTGGATCCGTGCTGGCCCCCCCGGCGGCGCCTCCGGCGCCGTGGCGCGCTCCGCGCGCCAGAGAGGGAGATCCAGCGCCGATCCGTGAAATCTGCGCGGGCCTCCGTTTTTATGTTTATGCAGTTTTTGTTCGTTCTTCTAGTCAGCAGCGGCGGCCTAAGAAGGAGTAGAAGGCCGCGGCGCCGAGGCATCTCAAAAGCCCGCCAGATCTGAGAGGTTGTCGATAGATTCTTCAGGCTTCCGACACATCCGCCTACCCCTCCCTGTAAACTACTGCGCCTCCAGGGCTGCATTCCACGAGCCACCTCTCGGGCAGGATTCCGAAGCCAGGGCGAGGGCAAAAGTAGCAAGAATGCGTCAAGTTCAGGGTAGTGTGTGGCACGCCCTTGGATCTGTTGGGATCTCGTGGTGAGGATTCTCGCGGGCATCTTCGAGGCAGTTTCGAAGGGTCTTGGGGGCCGCTTTGGGGCTTCTTTGGGGGCCTCTTGGGGCCGCTTGGGGGCCTCTTGGGTTCTCCGGAGAGCTTCGTTGGGCGGAGCGTTAGAATTCGCGGTTCGTGGTCCCTCTCTTGGGCCCTTCTTGGGGCCGTTTTTTTTTTTTTTTTTTGCTCTTTTTTTTTGATTTTTTCTTTTTTTTTTTTTTTTTTTTGGAGCTCTTTTTTTTTGTTTTTTTTTTTTTTTTTTTTTTTTTTTTTTTCTTTTTTTTTTATTTTTTTTTCTCTTTTTTTCTTTTTTTTTTTTTTTTTTTTTTTTTTTTTTACATTTTTTTCTATTTTTTTTTATTTCTTTTTTTTTTTTTTCTCTTGGGCCGTCTAGGGCGCCTCGTGGGCCACGTTGGAGTTCTTTTGGGTTGTTTTTAGTGCCTCCTTGGAACCTCGTGGGCCGTCTTGGATGGTCCTAGGGGCCTCGTGGGGGCCTCGTGGACGGTTTTCCACGCCGTGATGGCTAACAAGTTGGATATGCTGAGAATGCACGGTTTCCCCAAGATTTTGGTTTCTTGGGGGTTTCTTGGGAGGCCTCTTGGAGGCTTCGTGGGGTGTCTTGGCTGCATCTTGGGCCGGTTTGAGCTCACCTTGGGCGTCTTGGAACGATCTTTCGGCGACTTTGGGTTCTCGTGGACCGTCTTGGCGGCTTCTTGGGAGGCGTCAATTGCTGTCGTGCAGCTCAAGACCGAACCCAGGGAGCCCAGACCGCTCCGGGTGAGTTCGGTCCGGGGCCACCCCGGGCGGGGGGGGTGTCAAAATCCCGGTTTGGGGCCCCTGGGGGGGGGGGGATTCTGGGGGGGGAACAGTCTCACACGCCTGGAGAGCCACGAGGGGTCGGCGGATTTATCCTCCCCGATTTTGTCCTCGTGCTGGCTCTTCGTCTTACCCCCGCCCCTCGCCCGCCCGTGCCTCAATTCGCAGCGCATGAGTCCCGCCGATGGCTTGACCGCGTGTCACAGCCGTGCTCGCGCGGAGCAGCGTCGCAGGACTGCGCGAGTTGCACTGGGGTGCGGGGGCGCCAGCAGCCAGTGTCTGAGCTCGAGGTGGAGGATCGGCGGCGAGCGAAGGGGGGGGGGGAAGGAGAAGGAGGAGGCCTTCTCTAGAAGGCGGCGGGGCTTTCGCAGAAGCCCTCCGGCCTTCTGAGGAAGTGTTTTTGTGTCTTCGGGGATGCCCTGATCCTTGGATACTGGATGTTGACGGTCGCGACCGAGGAAAAACGGTCGCTGCCGATGTTTCTTGAGACTTCGGTGGTATCGGTCGCGACCGATTTGCTTCAAACTCGGTCGCGACTAACTCGGAGTGCCGATCGCTCGTTATGCAATGCTCCGGGTGGCTCAGACGGCTTCGCAGCAGGACGGGGGGCGTCCGAGCCCTCTGAGAGGCCCCTGGGGGGGGGGGGGGCCCCACTCGCAGCTCCCCCCCCCGGGCGCGCCGCAACGAGGCAGCCGCAGCACACGAGGCCACGATTCGCCCACGGCTGATGGGCCCATTCCACCACCACCACCAGAGGCAGGAGGGGTAGAGGAGGAGGAGGGGGAGGAGGAGGGGGAGGAGGAGGAGGAGCAAGAGAGGAGGAGGAAGTAGAGGAGGAGGAGGAGGAGGAGGAGGAGGACCTCCCCTCCCCATCCTTCTCCCCCGTCCTACCTATGGTAGTGGTGGTGGAAGATTGGCCCATCAACATCAGTGGTGGTTGCTTTCGGCGCTTCTCCGGGCAGACAAGATCGCCACCCGCCCGCATGCGTCGACACGCTGCCTGGCGTCCGCCCTCCTGCTCCTCCTCCTCCACCTCCTCCTCCTCCCCCTGCTCCTCTGCTCCCTCCTCAGCTATCCGCAGCAGGGCCCCTGGGAGCGCCTCCAGGGGCGCGAGAGTTCTCGGCACGGGTGAGGCGTTCTGCAAGACCCCCTCGTCCCATGCCGCGTGGCGAGTCGGTGGGGGATCGGGGTCACTGCGCGGCTTTGGGACTGGGGTCGTTCTCTCCCAGGGAGAGAGAGCCTCGGGCGATCGGGGCCTCCGAGGTCCCAGGGCCGTGCGGTGACGGGCCGCGCGGTGAGGCCCTTCGGGCATGCCGAGGGCACCACGCGGTCCGTCACCACACGTCCCCGGGGACCCAGAACCACACGCCCCGACGCACAAACAAAAAAACAAGGCGTAGAGTTGGCTCCAGGCCCAACCTCGGCAGCAGCCTCTCGAGCCTCGCCGAGCGCCGGCCCGCGCCCGCGTGCCCGCGCCGGGGGACACCCGCGGCGGCCCCGAAGGATGCAGGTGCAGGCGCAGGTGCCCCTCGGCGTGCGGCCAGGCCAGACGTTCACGCTGCAGACCTCGCACGGCCTCGTGCCGGTGGTGGTGCTCGAAGACGAAGAAGAAGAAGAAGAAGAAGAAGACGAAGAAGAAGAAGAAGAAGAAGAAGGAGGAGGAGAAGAAGAAGGAGGAGGAGGAGGAGCAGAAGAAGAAGGAGAATAGTGAGGAAAAGCACAAGAAACAAAACACACAAAAGACGCAGTACATTAAAGTATTGGCGTTCCGCGCGGATTTCTTGGATCCAAACTGGGCCCCCCCCCCAGCGGCGCATCTGGCGCCGCCCCTGGCGCGCTCCGCGCGCCAGGGAGGGGGGCCCAGCGCAGATCCAAGAATTCCGCGCGGAGCGCCAAAAGTTTATGCTCATGCCGTTTTTCTTCTTCCAGGTGCCTCCCGGCGCTTCCCCCGGGCAGCAGGTGGTCTTCACGGTGCCCGCGCACCCCGCCGCTGTCGTGGGCAACCCAGTGGTGCATGGCAGCGTGGCGGGCTCGGCGCCGCCGCCGCAGCTGGGGATGGCCGAGGCGGGCAGCGGTGCATCCGCGCCCAAGGGCTACCGCGCGGATCCGCTGACCGCCACGGCGGACGGGCTGCCCCTGCTGGCGGGCATCCCCGTGGAGAAGCAGGAGCAGAAGCTGAGCGAGATCCGCCGCGGTGGCGAGCTCGTGCGGGATAATGCGCCGTTTCCCGCGCGGCGCACGTACCGCGACGCGGTCTGGGGCGTCCTCTTCGTGGCCTTGGCCATGGCCATGACCGTCGGAGCGGTGTATTTCGGCAGGTCTCTGTCCAGCGATGCACAGGTGGACCTGTCGAGCGAGGACGCTGAGTGGATCGCCAACACCGTGTACGCCGGCTTGGCCGGTGGAGTGGCCTCGCTCGGGGCAGCCATGGCGTACGTGTGGCTGGCGAGCACCGCACCCGCGTGCATCGTTTGGACGTCTCTGTTGTTCAGTCCGGTGTTGATGATCGTGAGCGGCCTGGTGTTCTTGGTGGCGGTATCGGCGGTTGCGGGCCTCATTTTGATCATTCTGGGCATGCTGTGCCTCAGTTGCGTCTTCTTCTGCTACCGCCCGCTGATCCCGTTCATGATAAAGATCGTGGAGGTGGTGTCCAGTGTGATCCGAATTCACCCCTGCGTCATGGCCGTGTCCTTGATAGGCTCGGTTGCTGGCATCGTCTGGACTGCCATCTGCATGATCACGTTCACGGGTGCATACCTGGAGTTCAAGAACGAGGCGGAGGACTTAACTTCCACGGCGCAGTACGTCCTGTACTTCTTCGCAGTCCTGATCTTCATCGTTGGCGGGCAGGTCGCGTACTACGTCTGTCACGTGACGTATTGTGGCGTGTTCGGTCGTTGGTACTTCGGGGTGGACAGGGAGGGCGGCGTGCTGGGGAGGAGCCTGAGTGTGGCCCTGACCACTTCCTTCGGCAGCATCTGCTGCGGGTCCTTCCTCATTGCTGCGGTCCGGGCCCTCGAGGCGGTCCTCCGGAAGGGCAGGTCGGACGCGCAGGACTCCGGCAACGTGGTCTGCTGCGTCGTCCTCTGCTTGCTGGAGTGCGTCATCTCGTGCATCGGGGACCTCCTCGAGTACTTCAGCGAGTGGGCGTACGTGCAGGCCGCCGTGCGCGGCACCTCGTTCGTCGAGTCCGCGCGCATCACCCACAGCCTGATGACGTGCGCGAACCTGCTGTACGTGGTGCAGGACCTCCTCGTCAACGCCGTGGTCAACCTCGGGGCGGTGCTCTGCGGCCTCGTCGGGGGCGGCGTGGGGGCCGCCGTGGGCTTCGCCGCCTCCGGGGCGGACGCCGCGCTGTCGGGCGGCATCGCGGGCCTCCTGGCGGGCCTGCTGGCGGGCGGCGCCGCCGCGGGCATCATCTCCTCCGGGACGAAGGCCATCCTGGTGCTGTGGGCCGAGAACCCCGCCCCGCTGGAGGCGTCGCACCCGGACGCCCACCGGGAGCTCGAGGCCAGGATCTACGGCAAGCTGGGCCAGTAGGCGCCCGCGCCGCGCAGGCCTCGGCGCACGGTCGCGTTTGCTCGAGCGAATTGGGCATGCTCCAGAAGAGAGCGCCCCGGCCAGAAGGGCAGGGGGCAGGGCAACACATGCCGAGGGGGTTACCGCATCTGCTTGGGCGCCAGCGCCGTCCTTGTGACCCTGGCATTGGCCTTCTTCGGTGGCTTTACAGTTCCTCCACCGCCGCAGTCGGCTTCTGCGGCGCGGCTCGGGTCTACAGCGGCCGCGCAGCCCCCAGCAACAGGACGGGAGTGGCGCGGCCGTCCGCGCCGCCTCCTTGGTATCATTACGCGCTGCCACGGGTAGCAGGCAGGGGCCCTTCCCGGGCGGAAGACGCAGCAGTCGGATGTGCCATGCAGGATGGCCCGCCTGATCGCCTGCCAAACAAAAAACAAACAAACAAACAACAACAACAACAACAACCACAACAACAACAAAAAAAGACGGAGTTGGTTCGCAAAGCCCGACCTCCTGGAGCCGCCCTGGGGCCCCAGAGTCATCAAACAACGATCAGGGACGGAAAAGCGGCCCTGCGGAAGGGGTCGAGAGCTGCGAGGCCCAGGGGGGGTGCAAGAGGAACTCAGAAGGCACCAGACAGCCGGCCAGGGGCTGGGAAGGTTCGAGCTCGAGCGTTGCGAAAGCAGAGCTGGTCTTCGCGTCTCCTGCCCCGACTCCTCCCACGACCGCCTGGCGAGAGGCCAGGCCGAGAGCCCGGGAGCCCCGCGATTTGGAAAGGCCATGGCTTCGAAGGCCCAGGAACGATCGAAGAAGAATCAGCGAGCGAAGAACGGTATAAAATAAACTTGTTCGCCTTCGGGGACACCTGCCCCTGGGCGGCCGGAAAGTTTATACCCCTAGGGCGCCACCGTAAGGGTATAAACTTTCCAGCCGCCTTGGGGCAGGTGTCCCCGACGGCGAAAAAGTTTATGTTACACCGTTCTTCGCCCGTTACCAAAAAAAAAACATGCGTCAACGTAAATGTCCGGAGGTCCGCGCAGGGGGGCCCGGCGCCGATCCCAGAAGTCTCCGCGGAGCTCCAGAAGTGTATGCGTACAGTCGGCCCGCATTAGTAGGTCGACCCTGCCAGCTCAAGGGTACCCTTGTGTCCTGCGCCTCGCGGCACGTGCCTTCTTACACTCCTATGGCGATGTGGCCCTCGGAAGGGTCTTGTGTCCTCTCGCGTGCCCTGTCCAATCAAGGCCGACTGTGTGCAGTTGCCTCCTTGTTCTGCAGGAGGAAGGACCTGGCATCGCTCGGACGTGTGATTTTTTTCTCGGCGAGAACCATCGAGGAGCATGCTTGATCATTTGGCGGAAAAACCACGCACGAAACTCCCAAAAAACATAGGAAATGGAGGTCCGAGCGATGGCGAGAGGAGGAAGCACAAGCAAACGAGGCCGAACGCCAGTGCACGCCCGCCTCGCGGGGCTTGGGGCCGCCAGTGGTTGGCCCACTGGCGAACCACTCCTTGAGGCCCCGGCGCTGCACCAGGGAGTCCCTGGGGCCCGGGACTTCCCTCCCGCGGGGAGCCCCCCTCTCCCTCAGGGGAGGAGGAGGAGGAGGAGGAGGAGGAGGAGGAGGAGGAGAAGGAGGAAAAATATGGAGGAGGGAGGACCCCGTTGGTAGTCGAGGACATGAGGGGGCGGAAGTATTGCATTGCGTCGTGTATGTTCCGCGAGCCTACGCTCTCGAGGGTTCGTCCCGGCCTCACGGCCTCAGCCGGAGGCTTGCCCTTCAGGCCCATGCGTGCGCGCACGCGGATCCGCCGTCCGCTGTATGACGTGGAGGATCCGGGGGGGTTCTGGACCTCCCGCAGGTTTCCTTCTCCCCGTCGGACGGGGCTAGGGGGCTAGGACGAGGATTAATCCGGATCTAGAGCGTTCCGGAAAGCTCTCAGAGCGTTCCGGGACGCTCTGAGAAGGCTGCGGCGCCCGAGGCATCTTCCGGAGCCGCCAGATCTCAGAGATTTTCAAGTTATATTCACCCGATGTGATCCTCGTTTTGGCCTCGTCTTACCCCGCCCCTCGCCCGCCTGCGCCTCAATTCGCCACGGAGGAGTCCCGCCGTTTGCTCGACCGCCTGTTCAGCCCCCCCTCTCGCAACTTCCCCCCCCCGGGGCGCGCCGCCACGAGGAGCCGGCAGCACACGAGGCCACGATCGCGCCACGGCTGATGGCCATTTCCCACCACCACCACCAGATGCAGGAGGGGGAGGAGGAGGAGGAGGAGGGGGAGGAGGAGGGGGAGGAGGAGGAGGAGGAGGAGGAGGAGGAGGAGCAAGAGGAGGAGGAGGAGGAGGAGGAGGAGGAGGAGGAGGAGGAGGACCTCCCCTCCCCATCCTTCTCCCCCGTCCTACCTATGGTAGTGGTGGTGGAAGATTGGCCCATCAACATCAGTGGTGGTTGCTTTCGGCGCTTCTCCGGGCAGACAAGATCGCCACCCGCCCGCATGCGTCGACACGCTGCCTGGCGTCCGCCCTCCTGCTCCTCCTCCTCCACCTCCTCCTCCTCCCCCTGCTCCTCTGCTCCCTCCTCAGCTATCCGCAGCAGGGCCCCTGGGAGCGCCTCCAGGGGCGCGAGAGTTCTCGGCACGGGTGAGGCGTTCTGCAAGACCCCCTCGTCCCATGCCGCGTGGCGAGTCGGTGGGGGATCGGGGTCACTGCGCGGCTTTGGGACTGGGGTCGTTCTCTCCCAGGGAGAGAGAGCCTCGGGCGACCGGGGCCTCCGAGGTCCCAGGGCCGTGCGGTGACGGGCCGCGCGGTGAGGCCCTTCGGGCATGCCGAGGGCACCACGCGGTCCGTCACCACACGTCCCCGGGGACCCAGAACCACACGCCCCGACGCACAAACAAAAAAACAAGGCGTAGAGTTGGCTCCAGGCCCAACCTCGGCAGCAGCCTCTCGAGCCTCGCCGAGCGCCGGCCCGCGCCCGCGTGCCCGCGCCGGGGGACACCCGCGGCGGCCCCGAAGGATGCAGGTGCAGGCGCAGGTGCCCCTCGGCGTGCGGCCAGGCCAGACGTTCACGCTGCAGACCTCGCACGGCCTCGTGCCGGTGGTGGTGCTCGAAGACGAAGAAGAAGAAGAAGAAGAAGAAGAAGACGAAGAAGAAGAAGAAAACGAAGAAGGAGGAGGAGAAGAAGAAGGAGGAGGAGGAGGAGCAGAAGAAGAAGGAGAATAGTGAGGAAAAGCACAAGAAACAAAACACACAAAAGACGCAGTACATTAAAGTATTGGCGTTCCGCGCGGATTTCTTGGATCCAAACTGGGCCCCCCCCCCAGCGGCGCATCTGGCGCCGCCCCTGGCGCGCTCCGCGCGCCAGGGAGGGGGGCCCAGCGCAGATCCAAGAATTCCGCGCGGAGCGCCAAAAGTTTATGCTCATGCCGTTTTTCTTCTTCCAGGTGCCTCCCGGCGCTTCCCCCGGGCAGCAGGTGGTCTTCACGGTGCCCGCGCACCCCGCCGCTGTCGTGGGCAACCCAGTGGTGCATGGCAGCGTGGCGGGCTCGGCGCCGCCGCCGCAGCTGGGGATGGCCGAGGCGGGCAGCGGTGCATCCGCGCCCAAGGGCTACCGCGCGGATCCGCTGACCGCCACGGCGGACGGGCTGCCCCTGCTGGCGGGCATCCCCGTGGAGAAGCAGGAGCAGAAGCTGAGCGAGATCCGCCGCGGTGGCGAGCTCGTGCGGGATAATGCGCCGTTTCCCGCGCGGCGCACGTACCGCGACGCGGTCTGGGGCGTCCTCTTCGTGGCCTTGGCCATGGCCATGACCGTCGGAGCGGTGTATTTCGGCAGGTCCCTGTCCAGCGATGCACAGGTGGACCTGTCGAGCGAGGACGCTGAGTGGATCGCCAACACCGTGTACGCCGGCTTGGCCGGTGGAGTGGCCTCGCTCGGGGCAGCCATGGCGTACGTGTGGCTGGCGAGCACCGCACCCGCGTGCATCGTTTGGACGTCTCTGTTGTTCAGTCCGGTGTTGATGATCGTGAGCGGCCTGGTGTTCTTGGTGGCGGTATCGGCGGTTGCGGGCCTCATTTTGATCATTCTGGGCATGCTGTGCCTCAGTTGCGTCTTCTTCTGCTACCGCCCGCTGATCCCGTTCATGATAAAGATCGTGGAGGTGGTGTCCAGTGTGATCCGAATTCACCCCTGCGTCATGGCCGTGTCCTTGATAGGCTCGGTTGCTGGCATCGTCTGGACTGCCATCTGCATGATCACGTTCACGGGTGCATATCTGGAGTTCAAGAACGAGGCGGAGGACTTAACTTCCACGGCGCAGTACGTCCTGTACTTCTTCGCAGTCCTGATCTTCATCGTTGGCGGGCAGGTCGCGTATTACGTCTGTCACGTGACGTATTGTGGCGTGTTCGGTCGTTGGTACTTCGGGGTGGACAGGGAGGGCGGCGTGCTGGGGAGGAGCCTGAGTGTGGCCCTGACCACCTCCTTCGGCAGCATCTGCTGCGGGTCCTTCCTCATTGCTGCGGTCCGGGCCCTCGAGGCGGTCCTCCGGAAGGGCAGGTCGGACGCGCAGGACTCCGGCAACGTGGTCTGCTGCGTCGTCCTCTGCTTGCTGGAGTGCGTCATCTCGTGCATCGGGGACCTCCTCGAGTACTTCAGCGAGTGGGCGTACGTGCAGGCCGCCGTGCGCGGCACCTCGCTCGTCGAGTCCGCGCGCATCACCCACAGCCTGATGACGTGCGCGAACCTGCTGTACGTGGTGCAGGACCTCCTCGTCAACGCCGTGGTCAACCTCGGGGCGGTGCTCTGCGGCCTCGTCGGGGGCGGCGTGGGGGCCGCCGTGGGCTTCGCCGCCTCCGGGGCGGACGCCGCGCTGTCGGGCGGCATCGCGGGCCTCCTGGCGGGCCTGCTGGCGGGCGGCGCCGCCGCGGGCATCATCTCCTCCGGGACGAAGGCCATCCTGGTGCTGTGGGCCGAGAACCCCGCCCCGCTGGAGGCGTCGCA